CAGTCAGTCACGTAGGGTTACCAGAGACGCAACCGTATTGCGTAGACTTGTGCGTAACAGGGGTTGCGGGCGGTGCGAGCCGCGCTTTACTCGCCTGCAATTAAGCATTAAATTTTAAAGTTGGAAATTTGAGTCTTCTGAAAAGCTATTCGTCGTGAGTAAACACAAACCGAGGTAAAATATGGGACGTAAAGTACGCTAAAATGCATGACAGCACGCAATTTACTTTCCATGTAGTCTGGGTCCCCCGTGACATCAATACGAGGGTCGTCTGAGTGCACCCTTGTGTAGGGTCATCGGAGTGCAGTTGTGGGGCGAGCGCAACGAGTGTTGAAGAAACGTGATTTGATGGAAACAAAGCCCGCTATTTCCGTTACGAATGTAAAATCGCAATAATCGAACAATTTGTAAATGTGCCAAAGTGAGTCGCGTAATTTCCCCGGTGTTTGCATAAGCGTTCCAAGAACAGAAAACGGTCTAGATGGGATCAAGTGAACAATTCATAATTTTTACATTAGATTTGTATATTAGCTCTGGGCGTTTCGTGCATTCGTTTAATTCTATAGCCTCTGGACATACTTGTTATTCCATTTTAAATTTTCCCGTATCACGAAGTGGCTAATTAATCCTCAAGGATTACAAAAATATATATAACACGCCCATGATGATTATATACACGCATGTATTTCGCGTCTCTTTCTGCGTCTGCGGACGCCCGAACACGATGGGGCTCGTGCAGACGTTTTTCCTGGAACGGAGCTCAAAATTTGCGGCCTTGCGCTTTTTTTGCTCGGATTCGCTAAATTTACGCCGAGACGTCCCACATTTGACGCTGCTTAAAGAAATAAACAATTGCATTTGTCGCCGGTCGGATTTCTAGACTTCCCATTACGATTAGAAAATGATCTTAATTGACCGAGCACATCTGTGCCACCTACGTGGTTTTCCCTTACCTACACTCAATTGACACTCACAACCATGTTGGTTTAACGACTCTTTGTTGTCGGCAAAATGGACTCACAGACTTAGACTCACCCCGGAGTCCAATGGAACCTGACAAAAACCGTCATTAGAGGATTTGCGTGCCTATTATTATACGGTGAAATTCATGTGAACATTCTTGTTAAATCGTCGTGAAAACACCGTACACACTTCCGCCGATTTCCTAATTAACGAAATATGAAACAAACTTTCTATAGGGTACGGATTCATAATTACTAGCTAAATCAATTTGACGGTACGTGCTGAATGTTTGATGGCTTTGGCTTGTCTACAGTCAAACGCCAATTAAAAATCTGATCACGCACGCTTTTATTAATAATAACATTATTATTACATCACATGTAGTTTTGTTCCCAGCGTTCCTCAAAAGTTTTCGCCATCGCTTAATCGCCACTTGACCCAACAGGACACATAAATCCACCTCACAAATAACATCTCATTTTATTCGCCACCTTCGTGAATACCTGTAATTACTTTGAAAAGTTGGCATAAATTTCGTTAGCAATCTTCAAGTACCACCAGGCCTCGGCACGAATTACGAAAGACGTGTTTGCGACCTGGAATTAGCCAGAAATGGCATTTTCCGAGATTCTGGGCACTTGTAGGAGATATCACGTCTGCGACCGACGCAAATCACCACTTTCTGCCGTCTTGGTGTTACTATATCGCAATTTTTCTCCGATACCCTTTGAAATTGGGAGCCAAAACTCATTAGGAGAATTTACGCGATGTCGGGCCAGTGGCCTGGCAGATGTCGTCCGGATTGTGTGTATACTTACTTATACACACCGGGACATCTGTCTACTGGTGTCGCATGACGTCCGAAGGGTGCTTGAAGCAATCATTGCGTGTTTTTCCAAGTAATGAAGTTGGCACTACGTAATGAAGCGACGTCATAGCATTGTCTACTCGTTCACATGTTATTATAGCCATTGCGCAACATTAATTTTAGCCTTAGCATGAAAATGGTGTCCTTTCCCAATTTCAAAGAATTTTTATGTGAGTGCGCATAATTATAGGTGAGTGAAAGCTGCAAAGGTCGCGTTATTATTGTTTATTTAATATCGACATTTGCAATATACATAAATATTTATCAAACCGAGTTTTATTTGTTTTTAAATGCATTTTAATTTGTAACACTTTTAATGTAAAAGTGCTGATGGTAGGAGAAACGATTGCAAAATTTGTGAGTGAGTTTAGGAATATAGCCTTCGTTCTGGGGACTTTCGGCGAAAAAGTAGTTGCACAACTGCGCCGATATATACTTTCACGTCATTTTTATGTAAGTCTGATTAAAATGCACGCCTTAAGTAGATCATGCGTACTAGAGGCCTATAGTGGTTTTTGTGATTCCGCCAACGAGCCCGGCTGGCCTTTGATCGAATGACATCCAACACTTGTCGCACAATAAGGTGGACAAAATCCCACGCCGTAAACAGAGAGCGCACAACCTACATTCGATAATAGACTTGAAGACGACATTTACCATAAATCGACGCTCTCTTCGTAATTGTGAAGATGAGACTATTAACTGCTCTAGGCAAGCGATGTTACATCACGATCGGCACACCTCCACGTTCGTTTTGTTTAGTCCGATTCAACTTTTGCTGCATCTCTGTTTATCGATCTTCCTCTTGTCCATGCGACAAATGTCACCGCGTTATGCAGACGGTAGAGAGAAAAAGAATCAATTATCACCATGTTTTGGATGCACTTTAACCAAATGCCACCGAACTCGGTGAGGTATTAAGTTTATCATTGCCCCCAACTCTATTCCACTTCTTTAAATGTTAACCATTGATTTTTCCCTCGTAAACAATCAAAAGTTCAAGGAACCACCAAATCGAAAGACCTAAAACCGTAAACGTCTGCACGGTCGGGCTTTCAATACTTATCACGACTGAGCTGACATTTTATTAGTCTCATCATCCATCGTAAATGAGCAAAATTAATCTGAGAACCACACTCACATTTTGAGCGTTCAAAAAACCATAAAAACTTTATGGCGCCTTTAACCTTGAATGACTTTGATAATGCATAATCGATAAAAATAATTGTGCTTCGGATAGAATTTCCGCAACCACCACTTGGTGTCAATGGGATCAAGTGGGGCTAATTTCGAACGATTCGTGCGAAATCGATGAAAGCGGACACCGTTTTCGACTTTTTCTATTCCGATTTTATTAAAATATACAGCTCGGACGATTGTTGGGTTGCTATTGCACGCAGCGGGGAAGTCATACTGCCTACTTGAAAAGACCGGATTATAATAAAATTACTGTAAACGTCTGAAGCACTTGATTTACAGCAGCGCTTTTATAACCCAGACAGCGCTCCGTGGACAAAATCAGGATGTTTCGGACGTTTTTGATATACAAATTGTAGGTACACCACGCGCCTTCAAAACCGGCATTGTGTAATAGCTCCTACGAAACGAGGAGCACCGTCAACCCCCCAAGTGTTACTTGTTTTCAGCGCCACGCGGCGTGTGCCGGACTCGATATACAGGGTTTGATAATTATCATAATATTATCCTTGGGCGATTCTATTCTTTCTCATCCAAACCACCCAACATTTTTGGGGAAGTTTTGGTACTGCAAGTATACTTTGTTGTTTTAACCACAATTCAAAGGTACGTAATTGAATTACATGAGCTGGGAGCGGTATTGCGGCGGTGGTTCAAGTTACTGTAGTGCGAATGTTCGGTGCATGCAAAAGAAGCTCTTGAAACTGAAACCGAGTGTATCAGATTTGTTATTTGTCAGACCGACCTATGCGTATCCACATGGTTAGCGAAAAGGTGGGAATGTCGTGTTTTTATTTTGATTTTTTTTAAGGTGTGTAGTATTTTCATGACATAATGCGTCCGAGGCAAGGCTAATTTCCGTGCCCTCTGAATACGCAGACGTCTCTGGTGCAACCTCAATTCTATTTTTATTAATAGTTCAGAACGTCTGGATGCTGAAATTGTAAATTGACCACGTGGATATTTAATCCACTTGAGAATATTTTTGATTAGTGCTTGAAGCAATTGAAAAACTATGTATTTTTAACTCTCTGCATGAGTTAGATGCGTATAATAAAAGATTTTATTGGCCGGGGTCCATATATTTGTTCATTTAAAGCATGAAGTTGAAAAACAATGTGGATGTTTTCCGAAAATACGACGGAAACCGACGTCATAATCCTTGATGGAAACTGAGGAAAGCGATTTGGGCAAATATTTATTTTTGCCATAAAAATGGCGATTTCCTTGGAAAAAATTCCTTCCTGCTGTACATACCAATAAATGTTTTATTTCGGTCGTTCCATCAACAGCACAGCTGCTCTTTTTAATATTCTCGTTAATTTTGAGGGTAAACAATTTTACAATCTGGAAAGAAAGTTTGAGCTTAAGTGACGGACATAATTAAAAATACGAGTCTTCGAGGGGAGATTTATTTTTAAAAACTCATTCAACTGTCTGCACTATTTATATTTGATTTGAAGTTACAACTTACAACTTTCAGGTTGTGAAACGATTTAGGTTTTATTATATACAGACGGCGTTCGAGTTTATCAACGTTTCAGATCTGAAAGAAAAATTAGTCTGGCGCTAATTTCTCATAAACTGTCTCACTCGGAATTTCCTACATGTGCCACTTTCACGTTACGTTTATGCAAAAGAGAACGAATGCGGTAAACTGTGTTTTAGTTTTATTACTTTGATCTGTTATTACGCGGACGAAAGTAAAAAGGGGAAAAGTAGCCACAAGTCGTGACAGCGTGTTTTGTAAGCGCAATCAAGCAGCGGTTCACAAATCAAAGGGTAAAAATACAATAAATAGTAAATAGAATAAAGCCCGCTTTAGATCTACGTGGGTGCATGTACGCTAATTGAGGGCCTAATTGAACTGTCAAATTATCCTAGTTATCCCCTTAATGCGACCAAATTGAATTAAGCGTAGGGCAATTGAGACCGCAAACACAATACGAATTAAAGAAAAATATAAACTCACATCGAGGTTTGGACAACCAAGCCGAGGCTGAGAACACGCCGAAAAACTTATCCCAAAAACGAGACCACAAACATTTTAAAAACACTCAAAACGAGCGAGTTCACGCCACAAAGACACACACGAACTATCCATAAAACACCGAAATTGTCACAATACGGATTTGTGTACGAAACTTTAAATGTACAGTCGCTCCGTAAACAACGACGCTCCAAACAAACTAAACTTGATACTAACAAAGTTGGTAACACGCCGCTCTAGGCTACCTAGCGGGACAAGATCTACTGTTAAGTTGGCCTCTCTCGTGAACCGACTCGGCTTTACTCGTAACAACTTTCAAATCCACTCAACTGACCGCCACGAAGTCCACTTCCAGTACGTACCATTGATAAGTTTATTCATTGTTTCAGACACACTCCTATATGCGAGGGGGATTATTTTTCTTCAGTTTCAAACGCATGCCAGACGACAAAGAAACGCAATTTTTAGCGCTAAAGAAAAACGCTTTACGTAACGTAACGACCAGCGCCAACGACGATAACCGGGCCCCGATGTATTAAAAATATTATCTACAAATGTGGCGAGGACTAATCAAAATTTACTTGTCAACACATAATCACACACATAATATACTTTTTCTTTCTTACCATACTCCTCTAGACAATTTAATTTAAAATTGACACTGTTTTTGATTCTTCGCGTTTAATCAGTCGCAAACCTGACAGCAATACTTTCAACGATTCGAACCGTACACATAACAACTTTTGGCATTCCTCCCGAGTCCTACAATTTAGTTTCATGGTTGTTGGATTTATATCGTGCGTATGGAAGCAAATTGTAGGTGGAAATACGAGGAAAATTTAGATAAGTTTCATGTGTTTTTCATGATATCGTCTGATTTGCGTGCGGGTTCTTCAACGATAACATAAAAATCTCTACCAATTACTGTCAAGTTTGACAAGAAAAAAAGAAACGCACTTCCAATGTTGTCTCTTTAAAGTAACTTATCTTGTACATTTTGATCGAATAACTGATGACAGTGGTTGCGAAATGGTTATAATTCCTAGTGTGGCCTGTAAATAATAATCGCGGCTTTTTTCGATAAACGCAATTTGTTCTCATAATAAACTCCATCAGGATGTTTTCAGTGTAACTGGTGAGACGTTTCGATCTTCGTCATGATAAAAAATCGGATTGGAGGTAAACAGTGAAACCAATCGAGCGCGATCCTGCTTAATCATCATAAGTTGGTTAAAATTTGGACGATGGGAAAAAAAGTTTTGGTAAAAATGTACCACGAAAGCAATTACTTTACTGAAGACAAGGGTTTGTATAGGAGTTATAAACCGCAGGCATTTAAATAGGCAGAAGAGTAATAAGTTAAATAAACCTCTTGTGCGGTTTTAAAAGAAAGATTGTGATTTGTTGCTAACAACGAAGACAAAAAGCTTGCTTATTTGTGGTTATTGACATTTCGTTGTCGAAAATTATGCCAAAGTGGAAAAAAGTGAGGTTATATTGACAAGCGAGCAAATACATGTGTGCGCACGGCGTGTCCGAATCGCGGTGCTTTTTTAATCCGCAAGCGTTTAAAATATTCGCAGTTAATTTTAGGTCACCTGATGTATGAATTTGAAAAAGTCTTGAGTGCCGAAGTGTTTTTTTTTTTAATTCGGGAGACTCGTGTGTACCCATGGTGTATTATTTTGGGAACCCATGGAGATCTTTTTTTTGAAAAATTATTTAAAACAATTTTGGGGGACTCTGGTGTTCTATTTTTGGAAAATTTTGTTTTTGAGTTAATTTTGAGATCCCGTTTTTTTTTTGAAAAATTGAAAACAATCTTGAGGTTCTAGGTATTCCTGTTTGGAAAAAAATTGAAACTGGTTTGGAGCCTCTAGTGTCTTTTCTTATAATAATTTAATTAAATTTATTAGAGGATGCGTCATTATCTAAAATCAGTCTTATCTTAACAGGTACTAGCCCCAGCCGTCCGCCCTCTCTTTTCATAGAGGGTATCTCATTTGCCAAACTGTGTTTTATCTTAACAGGTACTAGCCCCACCCACCCACCCTCTCTTTGCGTAGCTCCGCCCTCTGTTTTCTTAGCGGGTATGTCATTTGCCAAAATCGATCTTATTTTAGCAAAGCAATAATGGCATCATTTTACAATTTTGCCAAATAAATGTTCTTTAATTTATATTTACCAAATGTAATTGTGGTGATTCCAAAAGAATTGTTTGTTATTTCAAATTCAATTCTTATCTGAATGAATCGTGTTTAAGGATTGGATTATCAGACGTTTTAGATGGTAGGTTTCACCCAGTTTCTTTTCATCTATTAAAACTATTTTTCTACCTGCTTTTTTAAGGTGCTGTATCATTTTTTTAAGCAAACAGACCATTCTTGACGTTAAAGTTTTTTATTGCTTTTTTATAAAATAAAAAAGTCTATTTTTGTAGTTTTTTTAAATGCAATCTTTTTAACATTTCACCCCATTTGTAAGGTTATTTTTTAAAAAGTTGTCGAGTTCTAAAGAATTTGACCATGATTCCAGTGGACCTATATAGAAACTGCTGACTTTGAGATGTTTACAAAAAAAACACTTCAACGCCAAAATTGGCCTGTTTTGTTAAAAAAAAGATAAAACAACTAAAAAACAAAATATGGAGAAACGTACCATTTTACTCACTATTAATTTGCCCATTTTGTGGTATTAATCAATCCCTGTCAAGTTTTCACCCTAGATATCCAGATTTTTGGGGAAAAATCAAAATTGAATAACATTTTACAATTTAACTTTGAAATTGTAAAACCGAATGCTTTGGAAACTTGCAAGCTTTTTAAGATAAAGCATGGTAAATCATCAAAACTGAATTAATGAATCAGTCCTTTCCTCTGCGTTGAAAACACAAAGTCCTCCAAATTTCATTTTCTTTTAACCGCTGATGCTTGTAATCTGAACGTGCTAATAGTCGAATTCGGTTGAAGTATAAACGTTAAGCATATACTGAGAAATTGAAATGTCCAAATTTTTTCCCGTTAGTTAACTGCTTCAAACATATTTCATATTTAGAGATGCAGGGGCTGCAGGGATGTTAATTACGCCACTAAGATATCATTTCGGAAATCGTTTAATAAACCAAATTTGTAGCTAACACAAATCATAAAATTATATCCGAAAATTTCATTACTTTTAAATTGGATAGTTTTAGATTCTATGAAGATCTATCTACAACCCAGATCATTTTTAATATATTTCGTTTTGATGTAAAAAATTCACTTCATTCTTTAAATCTAAAAAAGTATTTAGTTTTTTTCAACATTTAATTTTAAAGCACTAAATTCTTCTTCGAATTTATTCAGTTGCTTTAAGAACTTAACCTCCTGAACCCCTACAGTTTGAAAATGAACCGCAATTTGGTCAGAAATATCCACGTACCTGATATTTCAGCAAAATTTGCACAGCAGTTCGGATACGACGTGCGTATTACAACTTGATTGTTTGTATTTTTGGGTCAAAAAGTGGTACAGCGGCGCCCACGACGTCGTACTATGACTTGAATCGAGTTTCGTTTTTCTCTCAATTTAAATTTATTACTAATAATTAACACAGTTCCAACCTGTACTCCTACATTAAAACTGAAAGTCAACGTAAAAAATGGACCCGTATTTGTTCTCCAGCAAGTTATGTACACAGTGGTTCAACGACGGTGCAGTGAATAATTCAATATTTATAATACTCTTGACAATGTAAACACACGCGCTATTTTTAAAAAACCGTAGCTCGGATTTTTGGTGCTCTTAATTAGAGACAATATTTTCTTTTATATTGAATTTTAAATTAACACTCGAAAAGCTGATCTTTTGATTCTTTAAACACACAGCTGAATGAAGGTTTTGTTCTACAACAATTAGAGATTATTAGTAAGCAAACAACACAGGTTTGGGAGTTCTTTGTAGTGGTCGAGTACAGTGGACAGAATCGACTTTGATGGATGAGAGTATAAAGGAAGGAGGGGCTGTGATTATAGACCGTTATATCTTTTATTACTATTCCATTGCGAGAACAAAATTTATTACTTTTGAAACAAGCCATGCAATCAAAAGTCTAAATTACCTTGTATTAGTTCGGTTTTACTTTACGCTTGATTATGACGGGGGATAATCGAGCATAGCCATTACTAATTAGAACTATTGATTACCCACTAAAGCAATCGCCCTTTTTTGTTACTTTAGTGTCATGTCATGACATGAAATTTGTGTTTTGGAACTTCAACCCTGGTTTCGGCGTATTGACTTGTTTACAAGATGTTTGCTTTGACATTTCACTTCCAAGAAGTTTCAGCTCCCATAAAGCTCGAGTTTAATATAATGTCGTCGTAGAAGCAGCGTAGTGGAAACAATGTCTTCAATGTGTATTTTGAGTAGTGGGGGAGGATGTGGTAAACATAGTACTTTTAATCGTCATCATAACTATATTAAATACGGCATTAAGAAAAAGGAATTACGATGCGCATGCGTATTTTTTAGTCTATTTCGATAAATAAGTCGTTTTACTACGGCCGCTTTATTACACAGGATGTGAAAAATAATACATATACCTAGGAAGCAGGTGCAAGGGCTTAATAAAAGACTCGTATAGGCCGTAAATCATTCCCATGATGGCTTTAAGATTCAGATTCTGCACAATTTGATTCCCGTTTGGTGTAATAAGTTCGATCCAGATCAGTCACGTTTCAATCTAAGTCGTCTTAGAAAAAAAGTAAACGGTTTAAAATCGCCGACAGCAAGTCGGGCTAGTGCAAATGGCGGAGTGTCGCGATCGTAATTTGTGATTTGTGGTCGTTACGGAATATATCGTAAAACTGGCTTTACCTGACGTAGGCACTTAATAGTGTCATCCCACTTCTGACTAATTTATGTCAAAATTACGCAACAGATACAGAAGAATAATAAATCGCGCTTTCCGGTCGGGCAGAATTCCGAAATATCTTCGCAGATTAGAGATTTTTCTCCGAAGCTCACGGTTTGTTTTAAGTGGGAGGAGAACAAGTGTTGGTTAAATATTGAAATTTTATTACCATGTGATTTCAATAGTGGTATAATTAAAGCCACACTAACCTTGATATTTGAAATCTGTCAGTGCTACATATGTTAACGATAAAGCAGGGCGTTAGAACTGTTAGAAGAGATGAAAATCTACAGCTTTCAGTTTCTGGTTTTAAGCTCTCGGTGGTCTTCGGTCCATCATGTGACCGTGACAATTCTACCTGAACCTGGTTTACCTGTTCTTCGTGCAGGTAACAAT